TTTTTTGGAACATCTTCTTCGGTGATTCGTAGCTGATGATACCCCTGAGCTAAGTCCAGCGCACTGAACCACTAAGCTCCCTGGAGCCGATCGAACAGATCCTCAATTCGTGGTAGAGGGTATCTGTTCTTCACCGTAATCTTGTTCAAGGCACGATAATCTACGCACATGCGTAATCCTCCGCCCTTCTTGTTAACGAACAAAATTGGTGCTCCGTAAGGGGATGCACTGGGTTCAATCCATCCTTTTCTGAGGTATTCCTCGATCTGTTGTTTGGCCTCTTCGTACTCAGCTGGACTGAGGCGATACAGAGGTCGAAAGGGTGGAACCTTTCCTGGTTCAACAGGGATGGTGTGACCCACTGCGCGGTCAGGCGGAAGTCCATCAGGGATGGTTTCAAACACTTCCTTGAATTCCTCTGCCTGTATTTTCATTTGAGGAGGGAAATCCTCAATTGCTGGCTCCGAGGCCTCGACATTCTCAAGCTGTACCACGAATAGTGTATCAGCCGACTTAACAGAATGCCCGAATTGGTTGGCCAACATACACAGCGCGCTGGGACGTTCAGGCGTCTGTGTTTCAGTGGGCAAAGTATCATTGACTTGCCACTGGATTGCCTTTCCGTTCTTGTTGAACGAGACAATGTTGTACTGGAATTCCAGAATAACTTCGTTGGCTCTCAACCAATCCATGCCCAGGATGAGGTCGACTCCTGACAAAAGTGGTAGGACATATACGCGAACTGTTTCGCTATAGTCCTGTACTTTCATGTCGATATGTGTCTGTCCTTTACTTGGAATGACACGATCGTCACCCAAGCGGATTGACGGTCCTACAACGAGGACGTTGCGTGTCGTAACCCAAGTTTCATCAACAAGGGAAACCGACGCGCCTGTATCGACGAGAATCCTTGCTTCGTCCCCATTCATGCGTCCAGATAACAGTAGATTCTGTTGAAATCTTGGACGGATGGGACAAGCGACAACAAGTTTAGGAGGTCGAAAGTACACCCTAAATTTGTTGTGAGCGCGTCCAAACCTTTGGGATGTGGTCCACCAAACATGGTGCCCCTTGTCCCATGTTGCCAGGATATGCCATTCGTGAAATCGGCGGAACAACTCTCCTTTCACGATTCGAGTCACCAATCCCACTGACGTGAGCGGGTGCTCTTGGACACAACGGTCCACAATATCCATGATTGCTGGCAACTCGTTGAACGAGCAAGAGATGATTGAAAATTTATCTCTCAAGGATTCAATTGAGATGTTTTCAAGTGGGTATGATCGAGTTTTAAAAACAGATTTTTCATTAATAGAAGAGGCATACAAACAAGCGATTTTGCATGATGCAAGCTTCTCTAGCTTTAGCAAATCCTCATCACAAAGGACATAAGCCTCATCTACTCGATCTCGCTCACCAACTAGGTACCCACCCCCTAGTTGGACTTCGGAAAATCCTTCGGGCCCGAAGGGCCAGAACCATCCGGCTTCTTGCCCTGGTTGGGCTTGCCGGAGTTCTTGACGGACTTCCTCCAACGGCAGTGATAGGACTTGTGCCCGAGCTTGCCACAGATGCGGCAGCCTGCCGGGGGCTTATCCTCATCCTGAGGATCCTTGGCAGGCCCAGCATGGGCCCTCTTGGACTGAGTCCCAGAGGATTCCCCCTTCTGCTGATAGGGCCTCTTCCAAGAGCCACTGCCCCTGTGTGCCTGAGTCCTGTTACCACCCCCCCTAGGGCCTTCGGCACTAGGCTGCTGCTGAGCACGAGCGTGAGTCATGTACGCACGGAAATTCACATCCGTGTCAATGACCTGCTCCTTGCACTCCTTGTAGGTCCTCCACTGGTGCTCCCCGCGCACAACATGCACACGCTTGATGTGCTCAGGGAGACCCTTGAAGAACTGGTGGATGACCTCGCTCTCAGGAAGAGCAGTCTTCAGCAGCGACAGAGTTTTCTCAAACTCCTTGGCGTACTCGCGTACAGGCTGGTCACCGCACTGGATGTTCTCCAGGCGGCTACGCACCTCGAGCGCCGGGGGCTGACTCAGGAATGCCGCCAGCATGGCAGCTTTGAACTCCTCCCAGCCAAAAGGATGGCCATTAGCCTCTGCGTGGCGCTTGTTGGCATACACCAACTTGCTCGCAGTGTCGTCCAGGGCAAGGGTTGCAGCGACCACACGAGCCTCGCTACGCACATTGTGGATGGACATAAAGTCCTCCGCAATGGAGAGCCAAGTCTCGACGTCGGTCTTGCCATGGACAAAACGAGGCAGGGCCGAAGGGCAGGAGCCAAAGGCAGTTGCTGCTGCAGTAGGAGGCTCAGCACGTGCTCCAGTAGGAGGAGGAACAGCAGGAGGTGCATCAGCAGGTGTAGCACGGCTGTTAGCGGCGTTGGCGACTCGCTCTGCTGCAGGAGCAGGCTGGTAGAGGTTTCCACGCCGGATCTCCCTGTACTGGGTCTGAAGCACAGAGATGCTTTTCTCCTGCTTCTTGAGCTGATCCTGCACGAACTGAAGAGTGTTGTGCAGGTCCTGAATGAGGCTGGAGGTGTCGTTTTCCTTAGGGATCAACTGCACCTCCCTGGTCAGCTGCTCAATCAAGGCCTGAAGCTTAACAGAATCAGCCTCCAAGTTCTGGATACGACACTGTTGCACTCCAATGAGAATATTCTGCTCCGTGAGTTGAGTCTGGAGCTTGACAGCAATGTTCTCAGTTTCATTGGAAACACCCTCATCAGAGCCAGCCTCTTCCTCATTTTCAGCATCAGCCTCAAGGTCAGCTTCACTTCCATTGATCTCCATGTCAACCACGAAATCCTCAAGGTTGAGATCAATGTCAGCAGCAGCAGCAGCATTATCTCCCTCAGTGCCAACAACGGGCACCTCCTTAGTAGCATCCATCTCTTGACCAGCAGCCATGAAACAGGTTAAGGAGAGGAGATCTCAACAGATCTTATAATAATCTTTAAGAAATCTGATTACTCTTATAGAATAATCCAATACAGAATCTCTTAAGATAGACTTGTTTGCCAAATCTCTCTATCACCTCAATGATAGAGCAAGATATACTCAAGAGAGTAATCCTCAACAAGCCTTTTATAGATCTGAAGGTGCACTCTTCTACACAAAGTAGATCAAGAGTCTTCCACCAAAGGTGGGTAAGAGAAATTAATCTCTTCAAATTTCTTCTCAATGTTGATGAAGAAAAATGAGCTCCTTGTAGATCTTGAAGCTCCAATGGTGTGTTGAGGAGATTGAAGCTTGAAGCTTGGAGATCTTGTAGAAGTTTTTGTAGATCTTGAAGAACCACTTGTAGATCTTGAAATTTCTTCAAAATCTTCAAAGATCTTGATAGCTCCTTGGATGAAATCCTGGATCCACAAGCTAGGATCCTCTAAAAAAAAATAGTCCAAGTAGCAAATGGCCACACAAGGCCAAGGAAGAACCTTGCTCTAGATACCAATGTAATGCCCAGGGCTATTATAATGGCGGTTACAAGGCTTTTATAATATTCCAATACAAAATAGTAGCTTTAACTAGCCTTAATAGCCTTGGAGATGAAGATCTTCTTGATGCCTTTGATGAAAAGCACTTGGAGTAGTAGTGTAGGGAGACTTGTGAGAGAGCCCAAAAGGACTCAGAGAAACAATCCTATTTCCAATTGTTTTGTTGGAGTGGGAGGTTGAGAATGAGCTTGCTTAGCTCAGACCCCCTCAATACACCCCTTGGGGAACTATCCCAACCATGGTTTCCATGGTGGGATGGTTCCTAGGCTTGGAGCCTATGTGGCAATTGTGTTGGGTTGGAAAACCCAACTTAGAACCATTCAATGGTTGTGTTTAGGATAGAGTAGATTGTAACACTTGTTTGGCAGTTTCTGATTGGTTGGAATTCCAACCTTCAACATTCTCTTGGTTGAGTTGGAAATGTTCCAAACCTCCAAAGTTGAGGCTTGGCAAACCCAAACCAAGTTTCATCCCAACCAACTCAACCATCTTCTCCAACTCTTCCTTTGTCGAGAGAAGTTCTCAACAATTGACTTAGAGAGAGATCGATGGTTGTTAGCTCGGTAGTTAGGGTAATACGTTACAGCGCACCTCCCTGCCGTGCACAGGCGGTGCCACAGCAGCAGCGGCTGGCGCGCGCTGGCCTGCGAGGTTGCGCAGCACTGAGCCTCCCTGGCGCGCAGCGCTCAAGCGGGTGGTGGCGCGCGGAGGGCGGACGGCATGCAGCAGTGCGCGTGTGCGTGTGCGCTGTCAGGCCAGCAGCACTGTCGCTGCTGGGAATGATGGATGGGCGGAAGAAGATGAGCGAGCCTCGCCTGCCCTTGCTGCTGCTCCAATGCCACTTGCTGCCGGCCCCCCTCGCCAAACCGTGCCGGCTCACGTGGACATCACAGCTCTGGCTGCTTCCCCTGTTGACTCTGTAGCCGCTGCTGCTGCTGCTGCTCCCACACCCACACCTGCAGCATCGGCCGCTGCTTGTACTGCCATTCCGCCTTCCCTAGGCAGCGATTTGCCAGCAGCAGGCGAGGCGGGGCAGCAGCAGGCAGCAGGGGAGGCAGCAGGGGAGGAAGCAGGAGAGGTGGGCACGGCAAGCCCGGGCAAGGAAGCAGCGGAGGGGGTGGAGCCCAGGCACGCGGAGAAGGAACGGTTGGAGTGGAGCAGGGCGTGGTACGCGGTGGGGGTGGTTGCAGACATGGACGCCAGTCGCCCGCACGCGCTCACAGTGCTGGGCCGCCCCCTCGTGCTCTGGCGGGACGCCTCCCTCTCCTGGCGCTGCTTCCTCGACCAGTGCCCCCACCGCCTCGTGCCGCTCTCCGAGGTGATCCTCTCTCTCTTTGCAACAAACTAGCACGCACCGTCTCGCGACCCGCCCAGAACCATCCTGGTCTGTCAGGCCCGCAGGTCCTTCTCTCCACACCAATGCCCTCTGCCTCTCTGAAACCCCGCCTCGTGCCCAACTCCCACCGCCTCGTGCCCGTGTCCTTCGCTCTGCGTAGGTCTTGCACCTCGTCGAGGTATGTGCTGCGCCACATCGCTGCGCCACATCGCTGCGCCACATCGCTGCGCCACATCGCTGCGCCACATCGCTGCGCCACATCGCTGCGCCACATCGCTGCGCCACATCGCTGCGCCACATCGCTGCACCACATCGCTGCACCACATCGCTGCGCCACATCGCTGCACCACATCGCTGCGCCAGATCGCTGCGCCAGATCGCTGCGCCACATCGCTGCGCCACATCGCTGCGCCACATCGCTGCGCCACATCGCTGCGCCACATCGCTGCGCCACATCGCTGCGCCACATCGCTGCGCCACATCGCTGCGCCACATCGCTGCGCCACATCGCTGCGCCACATCGCTGCTCCACATCGCTGCACCACATCGCTGCACCACATCGCTGCACCACATCGCTGCGCCACATCGCTGCGCCACATCGCTGCGCCACATCGCTGCGCCACATCGCTGCTCCACATCGCTGCACCACATCGCTGCACCACATCGCTGCACCACATCGCTGCACCACATCGCTGCACCACATCATGTCAGCTCCTTACCTCCATCCGCGCCGCGCACCGCTCTGCGTGCCCTCTGCCTGCCCTACACAAGTCGGCTGGTTGCCACCCACGCCACGCTTTCATCTCTCCCCTCATCTCCCTTCTCCCAAGCACTCATCCCGCCACCTGGCACGCATGTTCCCACTCGTCGGGCCCACCTTATTTCTTGTGTCCTGCCCCCTGCCCCAACCCCCAGTGCAGCACAGCCTCGTGTAAAACCCTGCCGTGTTGTGCCTGCCTCTCTCATTTCGTCCGCCCTTCTCCTTATCCCCCCCGCACTCTTCTTCTCCCCACACCAGGGCCGCATAGACTCATCGGGGAGGCTTGCGTGTTCGTACCACGGGTGGGCGTTTGCAGGCAGTGGCGCGTGCCACCTCATCCCCCAGGCGCCGCAAGACAACCCGCCCCACCCGCCCCGCGCGCTCGCCTCCCCCCGCGCCTGCGCCACCGCCTTCCCCACCAGGGAGCTCCATGTGAGAGCGTTCTTGCCACGTGCCTGTGCGTGTGTTCACCTTTCCGCACCCTTGTGCATCTGCTGCATGCTCCCTTGACCTTTCTCTGAAACGATCCACCTGCCTCTCCGTCTTTACGAGTCTATCTTGCCGTCCCGTCTTGCCTTCCTGCTTCCCTCCCGCATTTGTTTGGGGCACGGCGTCAAAACTCTCCACACGCGCCCACACCGGCTTCTCTCCCTCGTACGGCAGGAAGTCTCTTGTCTTCACCAGAAACTGCAAGCTGATCTCCTTCAAAGCTGTGTGTGCTCTCGTTTGACAGCATGCTGTATGCAGACCGCGTGCCCTACAGTCTTCACCAACTTCACCCCCTCAGTCGCTCGCTACCCCTACCTTCCTCCGTCCCTGCTCCCCCCACATCCTTTCCCATGGCAGGGCATTCTCTTCGTTTGGCCCGACAGCGCATCTGCAGAGCAGGCGGAGCGCACAGCCATCCCCGAGCCCGAGGGCGTGGAGTGGGATGCGTTTGACATGATGGTGCACGCGCGGCGCCTCAACTACAGCTACGAGATCATGGCGGAGAACTTTGCCGACCCCGCGCACATCTTCTTCGCCCACCACGGCTTCGGCCCGCTGCACTCACCAGGGCGCGCCCATGAAGGAGATCAGCTTGCAGTTTCTGGTGAGACGAGCGTGCGACGCGTGGTGAGACGAGCGTGCGACGCGTGGTGAGACGAGCGTGCGACGCGTGGTGAGACGAGCGTGCGACGCGTGGTGAGACGAGCGTGCGACGCGGGGTGAGACGAGCGTGCGACGCGTGGTGAGACGAGCGTGCGACGCGTGGTGAGACGAGCGTGCGACGCGGGGTGAGACGAGCGTGCGACGCGTGGTGAGATGAGCGTGCGACGCGTGGTGAGACGAGCGTGTGAGACGAGCGTGCGACGCGTGGTGAGAGGAGCGTGCGACGCGTGGTGAGACGAGCGGGCGACGCGGGGTGAGACGAGCATGCGACGCGTGGTGAGACGAGCGTGCGACGCGTGGTGAGTCGAGCGTGCGACGCGCGGTGGGATGAGTCTTTAAGACTCCGTGCTGCTCCCTGCCATGCCTTGCCACTCTGTTCCATACTGATGTGATGAGGAGCACTAGAGTGTGTTTGTTTTTTTTTTGCCTTCGCAGTATTGTCTTTTCTTGGAAATAGCCTCGTTGTGAGAGTTGATCCACCATCACTTTTCATGTTCAGTGTCATTTGAACCCCACCGTCTCCACACTCCCTCCCTCCCCACGCAATGTCAGACCAAGGACGGCTTTCAAGGCACCTTTCACGATGCTGTCTCGCCTGCCACCTTCACATTCAGCGCCCCCTCGTTCGTCTGCTACAACCGGTATGCTACAACCGGTATGCTACAACCGGTATGCTACAACCGGTATGCTACAACCGATATGCTACAACCGGTATGCTACAACCGGTATGCTACAACCGGTATGCTACAACCGGTATGCTACAACCGGTATGCTACAACCGGTATGCTACAACCGGTATGCTACAACCGGTATGCTACAACCGGTATGCTACAACCGGTATGCTACAACCGGTATGCCACAACCGGTATGCTACAACCGGTATGCCACAACCGGTATGCCACAACCGGTATGCCACAACCGGTATGCCACAACCGGTATGCTACAACCGGTATGCTACAACCGGTATGCTACAACCGGTATGCTACAACCGGTATGCTACAACCGGTATGCTACAACCGGTATGCCACAACCGGTATGCCACAACCGGTATGCCGTAACCATGTCACTGCCTCGTAACCATGTCACTGCCTCGTAACCATGTCACTGCCTCGTAACCGTGCCACTGCCTCGTAACCGTGTCACTGCCTCATAACCATGTCACTGCCTTGTAACCATGTGACTGCCTCATAACCATGTCACTGCCTCGTAACCATGTCACTGCCTCCTGCTGCTGCTGGTGGTGGTGGTGGTGGTCCTGCTGCTGGTCTTGCTGGTGGTCCTGCTGCTGGTCTTGCTGCTGGTCCTGCTGCCAGTATGCCATTGAATCACTGAGTCCACTGTTACATTTCTTCGCCACCATGTCACTGCCTCGTCATCTTGCTACTAAACTGAGCAACTGCAGATTCCTCTAACCCCGTTCGTCACTCCCTGCAGCACCCTCCCTGCACCGCCGGCGGCAACATCGGCAGCGGCGGCAGCGGGAGAAGCTCCCCCGGTGCCTACAACAGCACTCGCCTGCCTGTACATGACGCCCATGCGCCCGGGGGAGTGCCTGCAGGGTAACAACGAGGGCGTGGAGAAGGGCAACAAGGGGGCGGCACCGAGAAGGAAGACGGCGTGGGGGGAGCAGTTTGCATCGCAGAGGTGGCGCGCGCACCTCTTCACTCACTCTCTCTTTGACAGTACGATGCCCGCTCGCCCTGCTTGCCTCTCATGCCCGCCCTGCTTGCCTCTCATGCCCGCGCTGTCTCTCATGACGAGTGCCACCACACACATGCACTCGTGCTTTTCTGAACATAGATGCTATGCATACATCTCCTGCTTCGGCAATATCACTCACTGTTGTGTGCTGACATTCTGCTTATCCATGGTGATGTATCGATGCTGCTGCTACTGCTTGTAATGAGCAGACCCTTGACCGCCACTTCTTTCCATTGCCCTCCACCTCGCCCATCCCTCCTCCTCGTCCCCACCAGGCGACCACTACTTGCTGCACTGTCAGGACATCCTCCTGAGCCACAAGATCGAATCCATTGCCGCCCGGCATCATGCTGCTGCCGTGGCCAGGGCAGGGCCAGGCGGAATGGCAGAGCAGGAGCAGGCGGAGGCGGAGCGGGCTGCAAGGAGGGCGGGCAGCCGCTTCTGGCAGTCGGAGTACTTCCTGCCCGCCCCGGCTGACCTCTTCGTGGTGGCCTTCCGCCAGTGGATGGGCACTTATGCTGGTATGCTCATGCCATGGATGGGCGTGCATGCAGGTAGGGTGGGTGTGCACATGGCTTGTGATGGATGTGTGTCTGCCGTGCTGCCATGCACCCTCCATGGCAAGATAGAGTGTGCTCTACCCTCCAAACTCCGCCCATTCTTCACCTCCTTCTCCGTTTGGCCAAATCATCTCTTCACGCACACCGTCAGCACACAGCAAGCACGCCCTAAGTATGCCTCTGCCTTCTCCCCATCCCCCCCAACAGACGGCGCTGTGAGTTTCCCCCCGGGCTACTCCATGCCCCCACAGCCACTCCCCAAGGAGCAGGTGTTGGACCGCATGGCCTCCCACACGGCGCACTGCACCTCCTGCTCCTCCGCCCTCGCCTCCCTGCAGCGCGCACACCCGATGCTGCCCGCACTCTCCCTGCTCGCCGCCGCTGCTGCTGTTGCTGTCCCCCTTGGGTTCTCTTCCGCCTCTATTATGTTTCCTCTTGTCCTGTTGCTGATGTCAGCAGCTCTGGCAGTGGCTGCCTGGAAGGTTCACCAACTTATCCCACAGTTCATCTATGTGGGTTGGGATCATTCCAAGACCTAAGTGGTGCATAAGGCACGTTCTTGATACACAGTACTGTTGCGCTTACAGCCATCTTTTGCATGTGACCCCTAAGGAAGCCTTTGGTACTGTCATTCCCTGGATATAACACCAGGCCAATGTTACGCCCACGTGCTTACATCTGGTCTGGACTAATGCGCTTAGATTTGGTTGTTGGTTATTAGCCTACCTTAATTTCACGGTAATATTTTCAGCAACCATGATCACACGTTCACATTAAAAGCTACCGGTAAGAGACGAGCGCACAGTACGGTACCGAGCCATAGTTCTCCTCGACTAAGCATCCGCTAACCAACTGCCATCATTCAGACAATGAAGATGCTCAATTACACAGACTGTCCCAAACCTCGACCCAACTGTATGGAAGACACCCTTACAATTGTAGGACACTCATGAAGCTAGAGCTCTGTGGTCTATAATGGGGATGCCAATAGCCCATCAGATATGTCCTCAAGTCATGCCAGTAACCTGATGCACAGCTTCATGCATCCTGCGCGCCACTGCTGCTGCCTTCACTCACAACTACACCAATTCTGAACCTACACTTTCACTCTCCTATGGTTTGACGTCTATCCATTGGACATAAGCATTACCAAAAACACTTTCATGGCAACAATCAAGCTCCACATCCTTGGCACCATCACCATGGCCACGCTATCTGAGTCATCCAACCCTAAAACTATCGAGGCATGCATTGTCTGTCAACCACACAACCAAGTCTAAATAATTTATCTACTTCAGCAGGCTCCTTCAGTTCTCCCTCCAAAAGGAGAGCTTCAACCAGACGTTCAGATGAGCAGCAGCAGGGAAGCCATGGCAGTGCCAGCAATGGCTGCTGCTGTGAGGCCGCCAGACCGGGAGGTGGACTTTGCAGGCGGAGGGGGGGTTGCTGGGGAGGAAGTGAGGGGAGATGAAGACCCCGTGGTACTCCCAGGAGATTGGGGCGCTGGAGACAGGAAGAGAGGGGACATGGGAGAAGTGGTATGCGAGGGGACACATGGGGCACACGTGTGGTTGCAATCAGGGTGTGGGACGGACAGAAATCGCAGTGTTGAGGAGAAGAGCTTGATATCTGAGTAGCACATGATAATGTGTCAAACCTAAATTGGATACTGAAGTGCAAGAAGAGCAGCAGTACTGCTACTGCTTGCCACTGGTATGCTGGCCCATGCATGGAGATGGGGGTTCAGGAGAGAAAGGCACATGTGTTGTGAGAAAACCTCACGTGACCAAAAGCATGGAAGGAGGATGGCGGAGGAACTCATTTCTGCTTACGAGGTGCCGGCTTGCCGCAGGAGGTGCAGAAAGAGGAGCACTGGAGGCAAAAGGCGCTCTGAGGCTGCTGCTGCGCCACGCATGGAGTGTAGTCAGCCGGGCAGGTCAGGCCAGTTCCACTCACATTCCTGTACGTGCAAAGGCAAGGGAAGATAACATGCAGGCAAGGGATTCATCGGTTTGGTCTTATAGCGGTTTGATTCCTCCCATCGGGCCACAGGCGACACATCATAGCACACAGCGGATTGCAATTTTCTTATGCCTGTTATTCTAGAAACACCAACCAGCTGGGTGCATTGCACTGGTGAGTCAAGAGCTGCCATTCACAAGAGAAGAGCGCGCACAAGGTAGAAAAGAGAAGAGCGCTCACAAGGTAGAAAAGAGAAGAGCGCTCACAAGGTAGAAAAGAGAAGAGCGCTCACAAGGTAGAAAAGAGAAGAGCGCTCACAAGGTAGAAAAGAGAAGAGCGCTCACAAGGTAGAAAGCTGGGTGAGGCTGCCAATGGACGGTGGGATGCTGCCTGTCAGGGCGTTGTTGGCAAGGTTTCTGATGACGGGACAGCAAAGGGCATGATCACGGGAGGGTTATCAGAGACAATAAGCACGATGGCATGGCATTCACAATGACATTCACGATGGGAACAAATAATCACAAGGCGAGTGGTTGGGGCTGATTAGCAGATAAAACAATCATAGGGATAGAGGGAAGTGAGAGAAGATTTTAAAGGAGTGGCCAGAAGACGGTGAGTTTGATGAAAACCTCTTGATCAAACTTATGTTCACAATTAGGGTTTGGGGGCTGAATAGCAGAAACAAGACGAAGCGTGAGAACTTGAGTTGTCCGTTGGTTGGACTAGGGGTTTCCATCTCACGTCAGGGAAAGAGTTCAAATGATAATTTTGATAGGTCACGGTGGGCTTTGGGATTTCAAGTGTACTACGACTGAAGCATGGCTTGTGCGTCATGTCACATTTCTCACTGACGCATGCATGCTTGGCAGGTTGGCTCCTGGCCCTCAACGCTCAGTATTGGTGTACTTTCGGGTCATCTCAAGCTTGATACTCTTCTTGAGCTGCTCTTCTCAAACGTGCCTGACTGAAGACATTAGTAGCTGGTGATCATGAGCACATTGAATGAAATGGTTCAAACCAACATAAACAGTATTTTATTGATGTGGAGGTGTGAGAAAGGGTATGCTACAAGTAGTTGTGATGCCTGTGTCTGATGATGTTCAACTACTGGTACAAGCCTGGAAGGATCTGATGGAAGAAACACACATGGCTCACGATTATGGGTGCTTCGAACATGAGAAGAAGTTCATTCATACTGGGAAGAGAATGGCCATATGTAACCAAACGGACATGTGGAACCCAAACGGACATGTGGAACCCAAACGGACATGTGGAACCCAAACGGACATGTGGAACCCAAACGGACATGTGGAACCCAAACGGACATGTGGAACCCAAACGGACATGTGGAACCCAAACGGGCATGTGGAACCCAAACGGGCATGTGGAACCCAAACGGGCATGTGGAACCCAAACGGGCATGTGGAACCCAAACGGGCATGTGGAACCCAAACGGGCATGTGGAACCCAAACGGGCATGTGGAACCCAAACGGGCATGTGGAACCCAAACGGGCATGAGGAACCCAAACGGGCATGTGGAACCCAAACGGGCATGTGGAACCCAAACGGGCATGTGGAACCCAAACGGGCATGTGGAACCCAAACGGGCATGTGGAACCCAAACGGGCATGTGGAACCCAAACGGGCATGAGGAACCCAAACGGACATGTGGAACCCAAACGGACATGTGGAACCCAAACGGGCATGTGGAACCCAAACGGGCATGTGGAACCCAAACGGACATGTGGAACCCAAACGGACATGTGGAACCCAAACGGACATGTGGAACCCAAACGGACATGTGGAACCCAAACGGGCATGTGGAACCCAAACGGGCATGTGGAACCCAAACGGGCATGTGGAACCCAAACGGGCATGTGGAACCCAAACGGGCATGTGGAACCCAAACGGGCATGTGGAACCCAAACGGGCATGTGGAACCCAAACGGGCATGTGGAACCCAAACGGGCATGAGGAACCCAAACGGGCATGTGGAACCCAAACGGGCATGTGGAACCCAAACGGGCATGTGGAACCCAAACGGGCATGTGGAACCCAAACGGGCATGTGGAACCCAAACGGGCATGAGGAACCCAAACGGGCATGTGGAACCCAAACGGGCATGTGGAACCCAAACGGGCATGTGGAACCCAAACGGGCATGAGGAACCCAAACGGGCATGTGGAACCCAAACGGGCATGAGGAACCCAAACGGGCATGTGGAACCCAAACGGGCATGTGGAACCCAAACGGGCATGAGGAACCCAAACGGGCATGTGGAACCCAAACGGGCATGTGGAACCCAAACGGGCATGTGGAACCCAAACGGGCATGAGGAACCCAAACGGGCATGTGGAACCCAAACGGGCATGTGGAACCCAAACGGGCATGTGGAACCCAAACGGGCATGTGGAACCCAAACGGGCATATGGAACCAAAACGGGCATGAGGAACCCAAACGGGCATGAGGAACCCAAACGGGCATGAGGAACCCAAACGGGCATGTGGAGCCCAAACGGGCATGAGGAACCCAAACGGGCATGTGGAACCCAAACGGGCATGAGGAACCCAAACGGGCATGTGGAACCCAAACGGGCATGTGGAACCCAAACGGGCATGAGGAACCCAAACGGGCATGTGGAACCCAAACGGGCATGTGGAACCCAAACGGGCATGTGGAACCCAAACGGGCATGAGGAACCCAAACGGGCATGTGGAACCCAAACGGGCATGTGGAACCCAAACGGGCATGTGGAACCCAAACGGGCATGAGGAACCCAAACGGGCATGTGGAACCCAAACGGGCATGTGGAACCCAAACGGGCATGTGGAACCCAAACGGGCATGAGGAACCCAAACGGGCATGTGGAACCCAAACGGGCATGTGGAACCCAAACGGGCATGAGGAACCCAAACGGGCATGTGGAACCCAAACGGGCATGTGGAACCCAAACGGGCATGAGGAACCCAAACGGTCATGAGGAACCCAAACGGGCATGAGGAACCCAAACGGGCATGAGGAACCCAAACGGGCATGAGGAACCCAAACGGGCATGTGGAACCCAAACGGGCATGTGGAACCCAAACGGGCATGAGGAACCCAAACGGGCATGTGGAACCCAAACGGGCATGTGGAACCCAAACGGGCATGTGGAACCCAAACGGGCATGTGGAACCCAAACGGGCATGTGGAACCCAAACGGGCATGTGGAACCCAAACGGGCATGAGGAACCCAAACGGGCATGTGGAACCCAAACGGGCATGTGGAACCCAAACGGGCATGTGGAACCCAAACGGGCATGTGGAACCCAAACGGGCATGTGGAACCCAAACGGGCATGTGGAACCCAAACGGGCATGAGGAACCCAAACGGGCATGTGGAACCCAAACGGGCATGAGGAACCCAAACGGGCATGTGGAACCCAAACGGGCATGTGGAACCCAAACGGGCATGTGGAACCCAAACGGGCATGTGGAACCCAAACGGGCATGTGGAACCCAAACGGGCATGAGGAACCCAAACGGTCATGAGGAACCCAAACGGGCATGAGGAACCCAAACGGGCATGTGGAACCCAAACGGGCATGAGGAACCCAAACGGGCATGAGGAACCCAAACGGGCATGTGGAACCCAAACGGGCATGTGGAACCCAAACGGGCATGTGGAACCCAAACGGGCATGTGGAACCCAAACGGGCATGTGGAACCCAAACGGGCATGTGGAACCCAAACGGGCATGTGGAACCCAAACGGGCATGTGGAACCCAAACGGGCATGAGGAACCCAAACGGGCATGTGGAACCCAAACGGGCATGTGGAACCCAAACGGGCATGAGGAACCCAAACGGGCATGAGGAACCCAAACGGGCATGAGGAACCCAAACGGGCATGTGGAACCCAAACGGGCATGTGGAACCCAAACGGGCATGTGGAACCCAAACGGGCATGTGGAACCCAAACGGGCATGAGGAACCCAAACGGGCATGAGGAACCCAAACGGGCATGTGGAACCCAAACGGGCATGTGGAACCCAAACGGGCATGTGGAACCCAAACGGGCATGAGGAACCCAAACGGGCATGAGGAACCCAAACGGGCGTGTGGAAACCAAACGGGCATGTGGAACCCAAACGGGCATGAGGAACCCAAACGGTCATGAGGAACCCAAACGGGCATGAGGAACCCAAACGGGCATGAGGAACCCAAACGGGCATGAGGAACCCAAACGGGCATGTGGAACCCAAACGGGCATGTGGAACCCAAACGGGCATGTGGAACCCAAACGGGCATGTGGAACCCAAACGGGCATGAGGAACCCAAACGGGCATGAGGAACCCAAACGGGCATGTGGAACCCAAACGGGCATGTGGAACCCAAACGGGCATGTGGAACCCAAACGGGCATGAGGAACCCAAACGGGCATGAGGAACCCAAACGGGCATGTGGAAACCAAACGGGCATGTGGAACCCAAACGGGCATGAGGAACCCAAACGGTCATGAGGAACCCAAACGGGCATGAGGAACCCAAACGGGCATGAGGAACCCAAACGGGCATGAGGAACCCAAACGGGCATGAGGAACCCAAACGGGCATGTGGAACCCAAACGGGCATGTGGAACCCAAACGGGCATGTGGAACCCAAACGGGCATGTGGAACCCAAACGGGCATGTGGAACCCAAACGGGCATGTGGAACCCAAACGGGCATGTGGAACCCAAACGGGCATGTGGAACCCAAACGGGCATGAGGAACCCAAACGGGCATGTGGAACCCAAACGGGCATGTGGAACCCAAACGGGCATGTGGAACCCAAACGGGCATGAGGAACCCAAACGGGCATGTGGAACCCAAACGGGCATGTGGAACCCAAACGGGCATGAGGAACCCAAACGGTCATGAGGAACCCAAACGGGCATGAGGAACCCAAACGGGCATGAGGAACCCAAACGGGCATGAGGAACCCAAACGGGCATGTGGAACCCAAACGGGCATGTGGAACCCAAACGGGCATGAGGAACCCAAACGGGCATGTGGAACCCAAACGGGCATGTGGAACCCAAACGGGCATGTGGAACCCAAACGGGCATGTGGAACCCAAACGGGCATGTGGAACCCAAACGGGCATGTGGAACCCAAACGGGCATGAGGAACCCAAACGGGCATGTGGAACCCAAACGGGCATGTGGAACCCAAACGGGCATGTGGAACCCAAACGGGCATGTGGAACCCAAACGGGCATGTGGAACCCAAACGGGCATGTGGAACCCAAACGGGCATGAGGAACCCAAACGGGCATGTGGAACCCAAACGGGCATGAGGAACCCAAACGGGCATGTGGAACCCAAACGGGCATGTGGAACCCAAACGGGCATGTGGAACCCAAACGGGCATGTGGAACCCAAACGGGCATGTGGAACCCAAACGGGCATGTGGAACCCAAACGGGCATGAGGAACCCAAACGGGCATGAGGAACCCAAACGGGCATGTGGAACCCAAACGGGCATGTGGAACCCAAACGGGCATGTGGAACCCAAACGGGCATGAGGAACCCAAACGGGCATGAGGAACCCAAACGGGCATGTGGAAACCAAACGGGCATGTGGAACCCAAACGGGCATGAGGAACCCAAACGGTCATGAGGAACCCAAACGGGCATGAGGAACCCAAACGGGCATGAGGAACCCAAACGGGCATGAGGAACCCAAACGGGCATGTGGAACCCAAACGGGCATGTGGAACCCAAACGGGCATGTGGAACCCAAACGGGCATGTGGAACCCAAACGGGCATGAGGAACCCAAACGGGCATGAGGAACCCAAACGGGCATGTGGAACCCAAACGGGCATGTGGAACCCAAACGGGCATGTGGAACCCAAACGGGCATGAGGAACCCAAACGGGCATGAGGAACCCAAACGGGCATGTGGAAACCAAACGGGCATGTGGAACCCAAACGGGCATGAGGAACCCAAACGGTCATGAGGAACCCAAACGGGCATGAGGAACCCAAACGGGCATGAGGAACCCAAACGGGCATGAGGAACCCAAACGGGCATGTGGAACCCAAACGGGCATGTGGAACCCAAACGGGCATGAGGAACCCAAACGGGCATGTGGAACCCAAACGGGCATGTGGAACCCAAACGGGCATGTGGAACCCAAACGGGCATGTGGAACCCAAACGGGCATGTGGAACCCAAACGGGCATGTGGAACCCAAACGGGCATGAGGAACCCAAACGGGCATGTGGAACCCAAACGGGCATGTGGAACCCAAACGGGCATGTGGAACCCAAACGGGCATGTGGAACCCAAACGGGCATGAGGAACCCAAACGGGCATGAGGAACCCAAACGGGCATGTGGAACCCAAACGGGCATGTGGAACCCAAACGGGCATGTGGAACCCAAACGGGCATGAGGAACCCAAACGGGCATGAGGAACCCAAACGGGCGTGTGGAAACCAAACGGGCATGTGGAACCCAAACGGGCATGAGGAACCCAAACGGTCATGAGGAACCCAAACGGGCATGAGGAACCCAAACGGGCATGAGGAACCCAAACGGGCATGAGGAACCCAAACGGGCATGTGGAACCCAAACGGGCATGTGGAACCCAAACGGGCATGTGGAACCCAAACGGGCATGTGGAACCCAAACGGGCATGTGGAACCCAAACGGGCATGTGGAACCCAAACGGGCATGAGGAACCCAAACGGGCATGTGGAACCCAAACGGGCATGTGGAACCCAAACGGGCATGAGGAACCCAAACGGGCATGAGGAACCCAAACGGGCATGTGGAACCCAAACGGGCATGTGGAACCCAAACGGGCATGTGGAACCCAAACGGGCATGAGGAACCCAAACGGGCATGAGGAACCCAAACGGGCATGTGGAAACCAAACGGGCATGTGGAACCCAAACGGGCATGAGGAACCCAAACGGTCATGAGGAACCCAAACGGGCATGAGGAACCCAAACGGGCATGAGGAACCCAAACGGGCATGAGGAACCCAAACGGGCATGAGGAACCCAAACGGGCATGTGGAACCCAAACGGGCATGTGGAACCCAAACGGGCATGTGGAACCCAAACGGGCATGTGGAACCCAAACGGGCATGTGGAACCCAAACGGGCATGTGGAACCCAAACGGGCATGTGGAACCCAAACGGGCATGTGGAACCCAAACGGGCATGAGGAACCCAAACGGGCATGTGGAACCCAAACGGGCATGTGGAACCCAAACGGGCATGTGGAACCCAAACGGGCATGAGGAACCCAAACGGGCATGTGGAACCCAAACGGGCATGTGGAACCCAAACGGGCATGTGGAAACCAAACGGGCATGTGGAACCCAAACGGGCATGTGGAACCCAAACGGGCATGTGGAACCCAAACGGGCATGTGGAACCCAAACGGGCATGAGGAACCCAAACGGGCATGTGGAACCCAAACGGGCATGTGGAACCCAAACGGGCATGTGGAACCCAAACGGGCATGAGGAACCCAAACGGGCATGAGGAACCCAAACGGGCATGTGGAAACCAAACGGGCATGTGGAACCCAAACGGGCATGAGGAACCCAAACGGGCATGAGGAACCCAAACGGGCATGAGGAACCCAAACGGGCATGAGGAACCCAAACGGGCATGAGGAACCCAAACGGGCATGTGGAACCCAAACGGGCATGTGGAACCCAAACGGGCATGAGGAACCCAAACGGGCATGTGGAACCCAAACGGGCATGTGGAACCCAAACGGGCATGTGGAACCCAAACGGGCATGAGGAACCCAAACGGGCATGAGGAACCCAAACGGGCATGTGGAACCCAAACGGGCATGAGGAACCCAAACGGGCATGAGGAACCCAAACGGGCATGTGGAACCCAAACGGGCATGTGGAACCCAAACGGGCATGTGGAACCCAAACGGGCATGAGGAACCCAAACGGGCATGAGGAACCCAAACGGGCATGTGGAAACCAAACGGGCATGTGGAACCCAAACGGGCATGAGGAACCCAAACGGGCATGTGGAACCCAAACGGGCATGTGGAACCCAAACGGGCATGAGGAACCCAAACGGGCATGAGGAACCCAAACGGGCATGTGGAAACCAAACGGGCATGTGGAACCCAAACGGGCATGAGGAACCCAAACGGGCATGTGGAACCCAAACGGGCATGTGGAACCAAACGGGCATGTGGAACCCAAACGGGCATGAGGAACCCAAACGGGCATGTGGAACCCAAACGGGCATGTGGAACCCAAACGGGCATGAGGAACCCAAACGGTCATGAGGAACCCAAACGGGCATGAGGAACCCAAACGGGCATGAGGAACCCAAACGGGCATGAGGAACCCAAACGGGCATGAGGAACCGAAACGGGCATGTGGAACCCAAACGGGCATGAGGAACCCAAACGGGCATGAGGAACCCAAACGGGCATGTGGAAACCAAACGGGCATGTGGAACCCAAACGGGCATGAGGAACCCAAACGGGCATGTGGAACCCAAACGGGCATGTGGAACCCAAACGGGCATGAGGAACCCAAACGGTCATGAGGAACCCAAACGGGCATGAGGAACCCAAACGGGCATGAGGAACCCAAACGGGCATGAGGAACCCAAACGGGCATGAGGAACCGAAACGGGCATGTGGAACCCAAACGGGCATGAGGAACCCAAACGGGCATGAGGAACCCAAACGGGCATGTGGAACCCAAACGGGCATGTGGAACCCAAACGGGCATGTGGAACCCAAACGGGCATGAGGAACCCAAACGGGCATGAGGAACCCAAACGGGCATGTGGAAACCAAACGGGCATGTGGAACCCAAACGGGCATGAGGAACCCAAACGGGCATGTGGAACCCAAACGGGCATGTGGAACCCAAACGGGCATGAGGAACCCAAACGGTCATGAGGAACCCAAACGGGCATGAGGAACCCAAACGGGCATGAGGAACCCAAACGGGCATGAGGAACCCAAACGGGCATGTGGAACCCAAACGGGCATGTGG